TTTCCTTGTGGTTTTGTACCACATAAAATGTATAATTTTAAAATAAACTTTCAATACGCAGTTTAGTGATTGACACTTCAAGCTATTTTTAGCTAAAGTTTTCTTGGAAGAGATATTTGTCGAATCGAGAAACTTTCAACACCTCCTCGCATTTATGATACTGTTTTCTTTACAATATTGAAAGAATTTATTAGGTTGGATTGCAAAAATAATGACGTAAGAATGTCGTTTTCGACGTTAAAAATACGTCAAAAAACGACATTATTACGTCATTATTTTTGCACCAACCTAATAGTAGTCTTGAAAGCTATTTTCTCATATATGCATAGCATGAGTGAATAAGAGATTTAAACGTATATACTAGCTTAAAATCGCCCTATCGGGCACCATTTAAGCTAGCTCTTGCGGGGTGGGGGGAACTTGATTGGGCCTTCATCTCAATATGTAGGAAGAACTAGATGAAATAGGCAACACGAAACTCCAGAATAAATCAAAATTGGACGGTGCATTTAAGTATTGTCTTAATATTTTATCTTGCCTTTTAAAAGTTGAACGATAATTCTTCTGTCGCCACTTGATTTAAAGAATAATTTGGTGTATGTAGGTCCTTACTTTCCGTACTAACAATTATTTTATTTCATGGGTGACTGTCGCTGTATTTCATAATTTCGGTTATTCCCAATTTTATTTCCAAGTTATAAAAATTGTTACCGTACAAAAAAATTCGTCGCAAAAAAATTACGTAAAAATTCGCCAAAAACAATCGGAGTAAGAACTTGGGCATCCAAAATTTAAGAATCGGGGGTCCTCATTCGACCCTCGAATGTTTTTAATTTCCTCACAGAGTACGCTTGATTCTGAAAAGGTATATGTTGGGCTACGGATTCAATGCGTAAAGTTAAAAACGCGGACAATTTTAAGAACAGTATTTTTTTTTCATTTGAAATGAGCTATTGAAAGTTAGAGTTGTGTCCCTTTAATATGAAAAAGTGTGATACACTGACATTCGCATTTATTATATAGAAAAGTAGAAATAAACTTTTATTTTTCTATTAACCCTATTCCAGACAGGTTATTTTTTACCTTTTAAAAGAAGAAGCATTTTGCCCGTCGCCTTAAAATGACATAGATCTCCATATAATGTCTTATTCTTTTACCTTTCAACTTTTTTGTATTTTGATTTTTTTTTTCATTGGAATAAGTAACGTCATTAGACGTGTTTGAAAATTAATTAAACCTAATGCTTCAATGCATTAGCTTCATTGACAATGCAAAGAATTCATGCTGAATGTATTTTGAAATATTTGAATAAGACTATTTTCTAAAATGAGGAAAAAAAAACTTCCTGTCAGCAAAAATATGATGACGTCAGTTATTTAGAAAAAAAAAAGGAGTATTTACTATATTCATAATTACTTTAAGAATAGCTAAAAAGAATTATTGACACGCTATTTTTCGTAACAGTCGTAGAATCAAATATATAAAAATTTGATATTTCTTGGAATGCGATTATGGGAATTGTTTTGATGCAAAGAAAATTACTTTAAATAAAACCTGAAACTAAATCCTCCTATTGTTATCTAGGGATTAAAAAGAACGGTCTTTTTGAAGTCAGTAGTTTTAATTTTTTTTTTATTTGTTTTAACAATCATACAATGTATTTGTCTCTGCACCCAAATTTAATGCTTAAAATTGTAGATTATGCATTTAAATATACACTATGTACAGCCGCTATAGTAGACGGAGCGTTTCCTGGATAAGGTAACCTGACGAAGCCCAACCTTCTCCAGTCTTGTTTTGAATTAATCCATTACTCTACCATGACTCCGAAATGTGTATAGCGGTTTAGTAAGAGTAGGTTAATTGTGGCACAAGGCCGAAAGTACGAAGCAACCAGTGAGGATCGAACTCGCTACTCAGTCGTTAACAAGACACGTTTGCTATTACACCATTCGAGATAACCCCTCCTTAATGTGTATATACGGATAAATATTAAGTTGTTCGGAAAATAATGTCCGATTTTAATTTCTTTTATTTCTGAATTAATGTATTGAAACAATGTTTAAATCGGTCAAAATATGAATCCTAAACATCTGCACATGTCTGTCTGTTTGTCTGCTATCAACAATATATCATCTGTATATCTTATGTTGTTGAAATTGTGGCTGTCAATTATGAATCTTGATAGGATCTCTAATTATTTTTGGTTTCTCCAATTAGTAGCTCTCATCTTGGGCTATTCCTTTTGCTATTTCTTCTTACAATTGATGTGTAGTCCTTTCTTCCCGCTTTCCTTCATTAGCTTCTATAGGAGTTCATTTAGTTTCCTTTCTAAGTCTGCTATCAACCCTGTCTCATCTGCATATCTTATGTTGTTGGAATTGTGGCTGTCAATAATAAATCTTCATAGGACTTCTAATTAATTTTGATTTCTCCAATTCGTAGTTTGCATCTTGGGCTATTCCTTTTGCTATTCCTCCTCCTTACAATTGATGTGTAGTCATGTCTGTCCGATTTCCTTCATTAGCTTCTATAGAAGTTCATGTAGTTTCCTTTCTATGTCTGCTATCAACACTGTCTCATTTGCATATATTATAGTGATTTTCTAAGCGTAGCTTAGATGTGGCACAAAGGTCGAAATTATGGTGCGACCTGTGAGGATCGAACTCAATATTCACTCGTAATTGATTGAGCAAGACAAGTTTACTCACTATTACACCATGTCGAGGTATCCCCTCCTTAATGTGTATGTACGGATAAATATTAAATTGTGCGGAAAATAATGTCCGATTTTAATATCGACTTTTATTCCTGTAATAATGTATTTAAACAATGTTTAAATCTGTCCAAATAGGAATCCTAAAAATCTGCACATTTCTGCCATTGAGTTACGTTTTTTTATGCCTTGACAATAAAACTCTTAAGATATTGGCACCAAGATATCAGTTGAATGCAAGTCTTTTGACCTAAAAACAATTGTCAAGATGTAAAATATATATATATATATATATATATAGTAAACGCATCGCTTTTTTTCATGTTCAAATGAGAGGTATATAATATTTTTAAGTTAATTCTGAAAGATTTACATGCAATTAACAAAGAGGACGCTTTAATCATTAGGAATGAATAATATATTGAATGTCTTTGCAAAAAGCAGATGGCAACCGATACATGAAGAATGAATAATCACAGCTGGCTTTATATTCATAAAAACTGAAAAACCTCGCCGCCATTATGTTTCTAAATCTTTTGAATGTAACTTGGATTTTATTTTCGATCCTGTTCGGAATGCTTTACGACACAACTAACCTGAAAACTCAGTGAGGATCGAAATCACTACAAAGTAGTAGTTGATCTAGCAAGATAATCTACGCTCCCTTCATATGTATATTCAGATAAATATTTGGTTGTTCGGAAAATAATGTCCGATTTTAGTACCTTCTTTTATTCCTGAATTTAAAACAGTGTTTAAATCAGTCAAAATAGGAATCCTGAATATCAGCACATTTCTGCTATCGAGTTATTTATGCCTTTACAATAAAACACTAAAGGTTTGGACGTAAAGAAATCTTTGAATGCAGTCTCAGCATCATGTTTGCAACGAAATGTCTTTTGGCTTTAAAAGGTAAACACATCTCTTGTGTTCAGGCTTGATCCCCCACACTGGGTTAGTACACGTCGATCCTGTATCGAATTACAATGTTATTTATGCCTTAAGGAAAACTTTAATGGTTTGGCTCCCAAGAAATTTTTGAATGCAGTTTCTTTTAGTACAGAATGTCTTTTGGCCTAAAAAATGTCAAGATGCTTAAAAAAAGTAAACACAACGCTTCTTTTTTTTTCATATTCAAGATGCGGAATATGTAATCTTTTAAGTTAAATTCTTAAAGGGATTTTGATATAAAATTAATACACACTATTTTTTATATATATATATGCACAATTATAAAAATATATTAGAAATCAATTATTCTAAAACGGGACATTATTTTCCGAACAACCGAATATATTGAACATCTCTGTAAAAGCAGATACTTAAATAATTAATAATCAAGGTTGACTTTCTATTCATAGAAATGAAACATCGTCACTTCATTATGTTCTCAATCTTTTTGAATGTAACATGTACGTTATTTTCGATCCTTTTCGGAATGTCATTAGCTTTACGACACAGCTTGAAAAAAAAAATGATTGTTGTCGTTAAAACGTGGGTGGATGCTTATAAACTGTTAATTAAAAACCTGTTATAATCTTCAGACATCTTGCGGCAGTAATCGGTCGAAAATGAAAAATTATCATATTTTTATATTTTCAAATCTTAACAGAAATTTTTCAAGATAATCGTTGTTCATTTAACGATGCTATCTTTTGTAAAAGTTATAATTGCGACTATTAAATTAAGAAATGTATACGCTACCTCGTCGTATTTTTAACAGCCGAAAAATAAGTTACAAATTGATAAAATATTAGAGACTTAAAACGATTATACTTTTGTGAGAATAAGTAAATCCTAAGTATGTGATTTTTATTTTATTCGGAGATTTTAAATGGGTGATAACCATGGGCTCAACGAGGGTATCAAGAGATGGACGTGTGATTTCTGTCAAGCATACTACTTTCAAAGGCTGGTTGGGTGAATCCGGTGAAGTCACAAAGAAAAAAAAAATCCCCCTTGACATTACCCAGACACAGCGTGTCACAGCCTGCCCGCTGTGTAACAAGGTATGCAAAACCAGCTCCGGACTGAAGAGGTATATGGTTGTGCACATGAATCAAGCACAGCACTGTGAATCCATCAAGGTTGTGACAAGCACATTGTTGGTCTTCCACTTGTGTAACAAGTCATACAAGTCCGCACTCGGCCTGGCAAGCTACCATCGGGGTCATGCACGAGAGAAGTGCGAGGTGGGGTTTAGCCGAACATCCCATCATCTGTGAAGATGCAGCAGCTCATCATCATCATGTCTGAATGATTGCATTGCATTTAATTTTTCAAAATGTATAAATTCTTTAAACTCTCAATTTTTTTTTCTTTTTGTCATAATCTCCATAATCTTGGTTTAAACTTCCTTTCTCTTTCCTTTTCCTTTTGTCTTTCCTTTTCCTTTCTTTCTTTTTTTTTTCCCTTTTCTTTCTTTCTCTTTCTTTTTCTCTTTTCTTTCTTTCTCTTTCTTTTTTCTCTTTTCTTTCTTTCTCTTTCTTTTTTCTCTTTTCTTTCTTTCTCTTTCTTTTTCTCTTTTCTTTCTTTCTCTTTCTTTTTTCTCTTTTCTTTCTTTCTCTTTCTTTTTTCTTTCTTTTTTCTTTCTTTTTCTCTCTTTCTTTCTTTCTCTTTCTTTTTCTCTTTCTTTCTCTTTCTTTTCTTTTTCTCTTTTCTTTCTTTTTCTCTTTCTTTTTCTTTTTTCTCTTTTTTTTCTTTTTCTTTCTTTTTTATCTTTTCTTTCTTTCTCTTTCTTCTTTTTCTTTCTTTCTCTTTCTTTTCTCTTTTCTTTCTTTCTCTTTCTTTTTTCTCTTTTCTTTCTTTCTCTTTCTTTCTCTTTTTTTTTCTTTCTCTTTCTTTTTATCTTTTCTTTCTTTCTTTTTTTTCTCTTTTCTTTTCTTTCTTTTTTATCTTTTCTTTCTCTTCTTTCTCTTTTTTTCTTTCTTTCTCTTTCTCTTTCTTTTTTTCTTTCTCTTTTCTCTTTTCTTTTTCTTTTTTCTTTCTTTTTATCTTTTCTTTCTCTTTCTCTTTTATCTTTTCTTTTCTTTCTTTTCTTTTTTCTCTTTTCTTTTTTTTCTTTTCTTTCTTTTTCTTTTTTTCTTTTCTTTTCTTTCTTTTCTTTCTTTTTCTTTTCTTTTCTTTTTTCTTTTCTTTCTTTCTTTCTCTTTCTCTTTTCTTTCTTTCTCTTTCTCTTTTCTTTCTTTCTCTTTCTCTTTTCTTTCTTTCTCTTTTATCTTTCTTTCTCTTTCTTTTTATCTTTTCTTTCTTTCTCTTTCTTTTTTATCTTTTCTTTCTTTCTCTTCTCTTTTTTATCTTTTCTTTCTTTCTCTTCTCTTTTTTATCTTTTCTTTCTTTCTCTTCTCTTTTTTATCTTTTCTTTCTTTCTCTTCTTTTTTATCTTTTCTTTCTTTCTCTTTTCTTTTTTTTCTTTTTTCTTTTTTTTCTTCTCTTTTTTTCTTTTCTTTCTTTCTCTTCTCTTTTTTATCTTTTCTTTCTTTCTCTTCTCTTTTTTATCTTTTCTTTCTTTCTCTTCTCTTTTTTATCTTTTCTTTCTTTCTCTTCTCTTTTTTATCTTTTCTTTCTTTCTCTTCTCTTTTTTATCTTTTCTTTCTTTCTCTTCTCTTTTTTATCTTTTTTTTCTTTTCTCTTCTCTTTTTTTCTCTTCTCTTTTTTTCTCTTCTCTTTTTTTCTTTTCTCTTTTTTTCTTTTCTCTTTTTTTCTTTTCTCTTTCATCCCAATCAAGGCAGTAAAGCCACAGACATAGAAGTGGTTACTGGGCGTAGAAGAATGAGAAACAGAAACCTTACTAAGGACCCAGGACAAATGAAATGTAACAGGAGTACAATAGATAGCAATTGACATTGCATTTAAATTTCTGCTGGAAATTATGGAGCCGGAAGGGAGTCCCACAAGCGAGAAGTTACATCCAGTCAGCTCAACTGTAAATTGGTGAGACCTCGTCACCAGTCTAGTCCTGTGCTTAAATTCGAAGAATCTAGTCACTATAGCGAAGACCTCAATAGAATAATTACCATGAAAGTGTCACAGTTCAAAAAAAAAAACTTTAGTATTTTTTTTTTTTTTTAGTAGCTGGGCAGAAAGTTTTTTTTTTTTTTTTTTTTTTAGATATTTTGAGTTGCTCTCCTTGGAAGATAAGCAAGATTCCTGTTAAGAATAAATGCAGATTTGTTTTTTCAAACTTTCTCTGTGACACAAATTCAACTTCTTAGATCTTTTTTCATATACTTTTTTCACATCAGGATTTCGTCCTCCAATAGGACAAAATAACTCCTCGAGGGAAGGTAGCTTTTCAGCTGCTTGACTGACTTGTTTCTCTCTTCGACCCGATTGTCGAAAGAAGACTTCCTTGAGAATGTTCTATTGTAAAATTCTCTTTACAATAATTACTTTACTGACTTGTCCTTGGTAGCTGAACAATAATCCACTTGATTACTGGAACAGAGTCTTCAAGCAAGTTTTCTTTTCGTCGCAAGACAAGACGACTTATCGTCTTCACACTGCGGCGCCCTTTACCTTGTCAGAGCAAAAAGTGATCTTCAAGCAGGTTTCTTTTCGTCGCAAGACATGACGACTTCGTCTTCACACTGCGAACAGACTTTTTCTTTCTGGCTACTACTGACTAGATTCCTCTAATCTAGTTGAAAACAAGCGGGAAAATCACGTACGACCAATCGTTAGACACGTTTTCGCCACGTGACACAGCAGCAGCAGTTCTTACACTGCACACAGGGGGGAAAGGGAGAGGAGGAAGGAAAGTAAGAGAGATAGAAAGATAAATACAGAAATTAAATTTCTGACAAAGTATGAAAAAAATCGATTATTTCCACTATCGATGGGAGTTGGGAAATGCAAAGTCGGTCTTGGCCTTCCCTCTAACTTGGAGCATGTGCATGTAAATTTTGGTGCAAATCCGTCGAAAATTGAGGCCGTGCATTCGTTACACACTCACACACATTATCGATAGATATGGCGCAGGTTTGTTTTGTTTTTGATTTTTTTTTTTACCGAAAGAAAGATTGAAACGAAGTCTGTAATTTTAAGTAGAGAAAGGCAATGAAAAGCCAAAAGATAACAGGATATTAAACAAATGAGTTGATATAGTCTAAAAAGTGTATTATTGAATTTTTTACTTGAGCCATCCGATGAAAATGCTAGTCCAATAGTTTTAAAAGAACGATGATTCACGAAACCTGTCTTGTATACAGCATTGAACCACTGATTTTACGACATGGGTTACCCAGTACTTTTTTTTTTAATCCAGGCAAAATTACGAATTTGAATTTCAAACAACTATCAGTCATTTTATTCTCATATAAGTTACTTAATAATTTTATATAAGTTTCTAACAGTCGATGAAGCTGTAGCGATATGCATAATTTGTAGACCGGAGGTTTATTATTGAATTATCTTTCTTGATTTCTGTTGGTCCGGTAAAACGGATAACCCGGCACATGTATGGATCAATGAAAATTCTCAACTGATCTTAGCTGTACATGTAACGTGATGGCCAGGAATAATTTATTAAGCAAATTAGTTTACCAATGTGTGATAATTCCTGAATGGTTTGTTTTCTCATTAGATTGTTCCAATATATTTTCCTATTTATTATACTTTGCTCTTTAATGTCGTCGGTTCTTTTCACCTGTCTTCAGCAGTAGACATCTTCGATTAGTCTGCTGCTGAGATACACACTGTGAAACAAAAGTAACGCTCTCGTGCAAAGCCGTTAACTCTAATCCATTCACAAACAAGATAAAGACATACACGTATACATGTAGCGTATTATTTAATCTTTAAAGTCGTACACTGAAGACTCCATATTGGAATAGGGCGAAATCTAGCAGTTACAAAAGAATTCTTATTTAATTATGAACACCAAATTCATTTGAATGTCAGTTGATCACTAAGTTTATCAGTACTGAACTACTAAGCGTCCGACAATTTCTACAGTATTTGTAAACGGCTTGAGGGGAAATGTATGAAAGAAAATTTCATCTTCTATATATAGTTGTCCAAAAATAGACTTACACTCAATAGGTATGCATTTACATTTTCTGAAAACATTTTATTATATTTATATTTATTTGTTCTAAACTGTTTATGTACATTTGTTTAACACTTATACTTTTTTAGCACAGATTAATCTCTTAAGTGCTCAAGATGTCCCCCCCCCTTCATAGAAGTCTTAGGACGACCAGATTTCGGTAAATTAACCACCAAACTTTCGCTTTCAAATTTATTTCTTATGCGATAAATTGCCTGGCTTGAAGGTGGGGCAGGGTTAAAGGCTGCTTGCCATCATGTGTACAACTGCTCGGCATTTTCATGCTTCCAATACTGCTTTAGTAATTAATTTTTTTTTTGTTCTTAATTTAAATTGTTTGCAATTGCCGAAAATCTCTGTAAAAAAATAAAATTAAGAAAAAAAAACAACGATAAAAATTGAAACCGAAATTGGAGGAAATAGCTTAACATTTTCAAAACGCGAATAAGGGATATGAAATAGCTAGTTTGGAATTATGTTTGGGTAATAAGTCTGTAGTCTTGACTTTGCGGATGATGTCAGATATTTTGCTCAGAAGTGTGTGTCTAATATATATTGTTATCCGCAGACACTGTTTCGCTGTATCACAGTTCATCAGTGTGGCTAGATGTCCAGTTGCTTCAAGCCAGGATAGAAACAGTCGGAGATTTTCCCCCTAAGCCATCGGCGCAAGGTTGAAAGAAAGGGTAATTTTTACGTACTTATTCTATGATCTGATCGGCTTCTTTCTCATACAACCTTGGAATAATCATTGGAATTCCAAAAAAGGAAGTCTCCATTTGGACAGCTTCTTCCCAGAGATCGCTACTTTGTAAACTCCCGAGAGGATGCTTTCAAAGTCACAACAATCTGAACACCTTCAAGCCTATGGTTCTTTCCTTTATATCCTTACTTCTTATCTCAGAACCATTGCCTGGATGAAGGCAAGATTGTGATGACAAGGGTTTGAATCGAATACACATCTGACCGATGTACACCTCTTTAAGGCTGGAAACACCCCCGATGTACACTTTGTTGATACCAATTAACTATAAAACACATAATTATAGAATGCAAAGGATATATACATACGCTGTAAATACAATAGTATAACAAACTTCGAGATATTATTTTTTAAAAAATGGCCGTCTCTCAATTACCATGCTTCCTGAAGAAAATAGATCTTAAAATCTTGTACACACACAATCCTCAAAATATTTGTTCACCAATACAATGTATTCACATCCAAAAAAATATGTCTACAAAGCAGTCACAGAATGAAATAGATAGGATTTTTAAAAATTACTTGACGTAAAAATACTACCTAATTCGGCATGAAACGAACTATAATGTTTATGTACCGTATCTCCTTTTACGTTCAAGCAACAACCTCTTTCAGTATAACTATAATTTGAGTGAGTATTCTGCCTTGTATTGGATGAACAATTAGTACAAAAAAAAATAGATTTAGAATCCTTGTCCCTCATTCCAGACAATGAAAGCAGTCAAGCGTCTCCCCCCTTTCAAAAATTAGCGTTATTCAATCCGCGACACCCTTTTCTCTTCTACTGTTCTGCACCAAGAAAGCATATAAATAAATCTTTGTAATAAATTGATTCAAAAGATTTTTTTTAAAAATGACAAGTATCGTATAGACTATATCTTTAATACTAAGTTATATATTTTAAGAATTAAAGCAAAAGAATATATAGTAGCTACGTTTTCATCTGATAACTAATCCAATTACCGCGGATGTTACTGTCAATAAAAATATTTTTAATCATATTCTCCCTAAGAAAGGCAGTAAAGCCACTAAGCCACAAGGAGTTACTGGGTATGAAGGAATTAGAGAACAAAACATTATGAAGGAGCGGGGAAAAATAGAAGATTAATCAGGAAGACAGTAGATAACAACTGACATTGCATTTAAAAAGATTTCTCAATGAAAAATGAATAAGAAAATGGTAGCTACAATTCTCAATGAAAAATTAATAAGAAAATGGTAGCTACAATTTAAACAAAATTTTATTTTATTTTTTTTTTTTAATCAAAGCAAAAATTTTGTTTTACAAAAATGAAATGATCGGATTTATTTATTTAATCGGATTTACTCCCGGCAAAGCAGTAAAGCTACGAAGAGTTACTTGGTGTGGAAGAATCAGAAAGCGGAAACATAAATAATGAGAGAGAACAAAAGAAGTGTAATCGGGAGGACAGTAAATAACGATTGATATTGCATTTAAATTTTTGAAGATCAAAGTTGGCCGGAAAGTTTGAAGAAGAAATACTTCCGCAGGCGAGAAGTGCAAGAAAAATGTTAGCATAGAACTTACGGTTACATCTCGCCAATTCAACTGTAAATTGACGCAAACCTTTTTACCAGTCTACTACTGCATTTATATTAATAAAGTCTAGGTACAATAGCGAAGACCTCATCTGAACAATTATAATGAAAGTATTTATGGAAAAGACACATGGAAGCAACTTTACTGTGGTGGGAAAGTGACTGGAAAAAAAAGGAAATAAATGTAGTAGTCTTCTGAATGGTACTAATTTAAAATGTATTTTTGTTCTTTTACAGAAAGTTCTTTAATTCTATAATAAATGCTTTTGCTTTCCGAATGTAAAGATAGTTTCATCTTGTAGATAGCCTTCGTCACAATGACTGTCATGTTATATCCATCTTGTATTTAGTACATATCATCGAAAGGAAAACGCCA